GAGCTCAGGGAGAGTGAATGGTGGCAATTAGAAACACAGAAATCACAAAAAATAAATCTGATCCAACTCAAAAGACTACAGAGAATCTAACAAAAAACAAAAACGAAACAAAAAACAAGGATCCAGTCAAGTTCAGTTTGGTGACTTTCGGGCCTAAAATGACAGATTGTGAAGAGTGATATATTCATCTCATTTTGACCCAGGGCCAGCAGGAGGTTTAGTTATAAAACTTTACTTTGCTGTGGTTTTGGTGCTGGTTCTTGAAATAACCAGCAACATATGACAAGCCAAAATCATGGAAGCATAAAATATGTTCAAGCCAAATTGAAAAATACGAAAACTCAACTAAATTTCAAGTAGGAGAAAGGAGAAAGAAAATACATTTGGACAATGTGAACTTCTCTGTATGTTCTGCTTGAACAACGTGATGCTGCAGGGTGAAGGCAACACAAAAGGTTATGTCCCTCAGTGACTTGATTCAGAATGTGCTYCTGACACAGAGTTTGCCAGAAACATCCACAACACTTGTAAAATTATAAAATTGGTGAGAACCCTTTACACAAGAGCGGTCAGCTTTTGATTTGTTTTTGGAGAATCAACAAACACAAACCTCAAAACTGCTGTGACCTTTTGCYATAAAATGTCAAGAAAACACACTTTCTAACAGTGTGAAAGGTTGTCTCGTATTGAAGTGCTTTTCAAAAGAGTCTGAATAACAAGAGCAGGAACATAATCCAACARGGCCCGCATCAAAGACGGCTGAACTTATTTGACAGAATAAAATTGATCGGAAGTAAAAAACCCCGCTGACAAAAACAAGAAATGGTAATGGACAAAGCCGATCCCCTGCCTCCTCCTTTACTTGTCCCCGTGTTTGGCTGCAGCTCCATCGGCGTACCATTAGGCTTCCTTTCACCTCCTCGGAGAACAGATTCACTGTTTTAAACCCCATTCATAAGCTCAGGTGAGCCTGAATGAAAGACAAACYAAATGGAAAAACCATGGAGTTTCAGGAACTGAATTGTGAATGGGAGTTGAGCCAAACTCGCCTCGCCTCAGTGCTTGCCGCAGATTTGAGGGATTAATGTCAAACTGCACTTCACGGTGCTGGGTTTGTTGGGGCACAGTAAAATAAATTAGAAATGAGATTGGGAAACTGATTGAGGTATCGGGCTGGAGGGATCTGCTGATTGGGCTCTTTATGTGGGAAATGCATTATAGATGTCTGCTGAGCGCCTGGGGAAAGTCACTCTGTCTGGCAGAATGCATCGGAGGCCTCYCATGCATGGGATACAAGCCTGAGTTTAATTTGGAAACAGTTATGTGAAATTAAAAGTTTCTGATTGTGCAGATAAATCGAATCTGCTGATATTTGAGAATTGTGGCTGTGGTTAACATATTTTTTGTCGAGCTCTTGTGAACACAAGAACACTGTAAACTTAATTAGATCATAAGCATAAGCCCTTAGTCACGCTTCTTTTTCTTTACATTTGAGTTCAAAATTTAGCCTTTCCATTATACTGTGAAGGTTTTATGATCAACAGTTCTGTGAGTTTTCTTTGGTTATTTAAAATTTGGATTTTTTTATATCTTGGAAACCAGTTGTTTTTACCATAAAGTCAATGTTTCAGACCATGCTTAAGTATTTAGTACTGATTTTTTTAACAATGGCAAAAGAATTGAACCACTACAAACATACTAAGAAAAGAATAGCTTTAGATACTTTGATAGCAGAAACTTGATTCAACAAGTTTTTAAAATTTCTTTAACAACATTTSCAAAGAATGACTAGAGTTTGACAGGTACTAAATAATGACACGGTTCAGACAACATCTTTGTCATTAAAAATGCACTAAAAAAATCCCAACTAAAGAGATGCATCATCACATTTTTTTTTTCATTGTCACGACACACTTTTATAGGATGGGGGTTAGACAGAAGTGAAGATTTCAACAAGAGCCAGCATCTAAAGCTATGATCTGAGGTTTATTCATTTAGTTTTTTTTAACCAAACATTGTTCTGTTCATTTATCTGGAGTGTGTTAAGAGGACAAAGTTGCACTGGGACCAGTCTGCAGGGAAGGTTGGTCCTWTTCCAGCTTCATCTTCCTCATTCCAGTAATTGGTTTAAATGCACTGTACAGTAACTCAAATCTATAGCTTAGCCTACAAATTTTGGCAGTGTATTTAAACTGTTAAACTTCCCGCTTCCCTCTGCATATTAATGCTGTTGCTACTGCTTGTTCGTTTTCAGCCCCACCCCCGGCACCCACCTGTGGGCACCGAAGTCAATAACAATCTCTTTGCTCCATGGCATGATGTACAACATGGTTTTGAGTGATGGAACTGGAGCAAAGACGCCAAACTTAAACTATTCACAGTATTTCCCAATAAAGATATTTAAACATTCACCTGTGATTTGTAAATGAAGTACCCTTTTGTGACTCTTTATCTTTGCAATACCATTATGCTGCTTTGATAGAGATTCTTGTCTGATTTGTCTAAACCCTTCTTTTTTTCTTTTATTTCCCTTTTATACTTAATGTATTCCTAAATGAGCAATTAATGAGATTTAAATGATGCAAAGAGGAGACTAAATAAATACTTTAAAAGACAATCAATGATTTCAAGAAAAGCATTGCTAGATAAAAAAACTTGAGAATTCAAGAAAAACAGTTTCCTAAACAAAAGAACAACAATAAAAAATGTTGCTGAAGATTTTGTAGACCCTGAGGGTTTTTTATTGTTTCTTTTCAGACCCATGTCCTTGTTCCTTCAATGCCTTCCCTATTTCCACCATCATCAAAGAGCCTTGTGAAACACCGAAGCACATGCTGGGACTAGAAGCAATATGTTTTTTCACAACGTACTTATCCACCAAAACATATCCAACAGAGTACTAAAAAATGTTTTATTGTCTGCTGTGCCATCCATCTCAATGAATACATTATCTCTAAATTCAACAACTGCTTGTGATTTACACGTGTGATTACTTGCAGTATGTAAGGAGCCACAGGTATTCAGGGGCATAAAAAAAGCATCACTTTTTTTAAAACTCCTGCTGGGGTTTTTTTTTTTTTTTTTTTTTTTTTTTGTTATTGTCACCTGCTGCTGAAAGAGTGAAGAGGGATGATGATGCTTTTATCTGTGTTCTTGCGTTTGCAAAATACCTCATGAACTAGCTGGTGGATTTAAAGGAAACTTCCAGAAAGTAATTATTGGATAAAACAATGAACTAAATTTTGAAGTAAGTTCAACTCAAGATGGCTGCCACAGCTAACCAATTTTAGCTAGCGCAAAAATGACTAAAACTCAGTCAGTTTTACAAATATTGAGTTAAAATCTGATATWGTCGCTGAGAGTTTACAACACATTCTGAGTGTCAAATCTCACATTATTGCATGAAAACTCTGAAGAAGCTAGTCATTGKCAAGTTTATAATTAAAATATAATTTCACCATTTCTTTACATGAAATAGTCTTAGTCTGGCATGAAAGACAATGGGTGCTATACATTTCTTCAAAGAACACCAGGTTTTCAGTTATATTAGTGTAAATAAAACCTGAGTTGTATTTTACAGAAAAGTGTCCCTGATTGTCCTACAAAAGTATGTATTAAAGCAAATTTCACTTTGCAGTGTATATAAAAACAGCCATGCTTAAAATGTAATCATTTCTTCTTCATGTTATGGGAAGTCTGTGTGCAGCTGCATCTGCAGCTAAAAACAGGACAATTACTCTGTGGCCCAAATAAGAGCAGGTTTTAACATCAGCGCAATTTGAAGCCAAAATGAGAATCCAAATTGCACCTCTTTTGTTTCTGCCAGGAAAATACCATTTAGATGATGAAAGAAAAATGCACAAAAGAAAATGTCTCTGCAAGAAATAAACCTTGGCTTCAAATGCACCAGTTCAGAAGTGTTAATACTTCAAATGATTTGTCATTAAATCATTCTCACTTTTCTAAACAGTGAGAGGACAGGCCACCCTACATAGCATGTTTGTAAAGTTGGAAATGTCTCTTAAAAAGCAAGAAGGAAGAATGAGTTTAAGCAGAAAACAACCTGAAATATATCAATTCTTTGTGATTAATTGTTGTCCATTTTAAAAAGCAATAATTATTCAGTGGCTGTGACTCAAGAATGTCAATTGTACAACAGATTTGGAAATTCCTGCCAAATCTGAATGAAGCTGCAGGGCAACCGGCTGATTTAAAAGGCCGGCAGACGTGAGGGTCCTTCAGAAATCTGTTGGGCCATTTCCTCCAAGATGAGCACAAGAACAACTCCTACTTATACAATTTGCAGTGTTCAGCAAGCAGATGGGAGGCTGTTTAAAGTCACAAGATGAAGAGAGGCAGCGTGGCACCACTTTTTGGAAAGATTCACAAATGCTTTTCTCGAATCATCTGAATGTTTCAATTATTTTAATGACTTGGGAGCAGGCAATAAACACCGGAGCTAAAGTTGGTCATTGTAACAACAAAGGCATGAGTGTGTTTGATGTGCATGAGGCACAAAAACGTTCATTACTGGGTTTTTCATTTAAAAATGAAAAGTAAAGGTGATAGTGATATTAGGTGGGAGCAGCTTTTCAAAGCTGTTTTTTTTTTCAGTAAAATTGTAAAATTTATGTTGAAGTTCAGCCGCTCACTTACAAACCAACAGCGATCGGAGTTTCTGAAACTACCCTTGAATTTAAATCTGTTTAATCCTGCGACCAGCTGGTCACACTGACCAGATGTCATTACTTCATCACGTTATTGATCCGCAGCACAAGCTTACAGTTTCTCATGATGGCCGTTTCGGATCTGTTACTAACTCACTTGCAGCACAAAGGCACATCAGGGGCAGTTGGCTTCAAGCCCCCTTGCTACCTCTGTCTATATAGAAATCACACRGAGCTGACTAAAAGACATCTACGTAAGCCCATTGATTGTATCCCAATAAAGAGCAATATTTACAGGGAACTGTTCTAATAGTATGRATAGTGTTCTCAATTAGTGAAAACCAGTAAAAAAAAGTTGGAAGATTTGACTTTAGCTATTGAAAAAAAAAACTACTTTTCAAAGAAGGAATGAAGATTGCAGCCTTTCATCCCAGATTCACGCTCACAGTGTGTTTCAGCTTCTGCCACTTCAAATTTTAGATCAATATTAGATAAACTGAGTTCTAGCCATTGTGTTTGTGAAGGTTAATTATATGTGGCAGTCAGCTTAAATCAAACTGACTCAAAAAGTTTATCAGTTGTAGTTGTCCAGTGATTGCTTTCTGAGTTTTATTAAAATTTACCAAGTGGTTCATCATATATTTTGCTAACAGAAAAACAAATGAACACATAGATGTGGACAACTACATGGACATTATTAAGGGTGAATTATTTGTAAAACTGATGGACTGGTGACCTGTGAAAGGTCTCCCAGTGCCTCACCCATAGCCTGCTGGAAAAAATATACCAGCTATCTTAGACCTGGAACAATGTTTCCCAAATCTTAGCTTTAGGAAAGCTCTCATCTCCCTGACAAGGAAAACTCTAAACTCACTGGTTGGAGTCCTAACTGGGCACAATCTGCTCAACCACCACAAAATGGTGATGGGACTCAATGACAATGGCCTGTGTGATGCCTGTGGCATTGAATTAGAGACCTCTTTGCACTACTTAGGCCACTGCTTGGCTATGAGCAGTCAAAGGAAAAGAATTCTTGGGGACCCCTTTATGAATCCTGAGAAGCTCAGAACAGTGTTTCTAATCTCGTGTCCTTCATCCAAGGGACGCGAAGGTTTAAAAAAAGACCAGTGTCTTTTTGGGGAGAGCAATGGGCCCACTTAAAGGGACAATATCATGTAAAATCAACTTTTTTGAGTTTTATATCATGTTATAATGTTATACTCTCAGAAAAAAACATCCCCAAAGCCTTGCTCTGACTCATTCATGCA